TAAAAACAATTTAACTGCCATCCACAAAGTCTAGTTTAGAAGCAAGTGTTGTTACTTGGTAGCATTCTTCTTATTACACGAGTTTAAAGCATTTTCAAAATGAACCGTATTATCATTCCTCAAATTTACTAAACAAATGCCTTTATAGAATCACTAGTAAAAATCATTTAAAAGAGAATTTAAAAAGGTTGTCAACATATCCCCAAAATGTGATTTTAAAGAACTTTTATTGCCTAGAAGTTAAACAATCACACACTACATATGTGTGTGTCTAGAAATTATTAATTGCAATTTCTGTTCTTTATCCAGATGTTTACATCCTTTCTCAGTAATCTTTCATATCTCAATATTCACATTTTTGTGGATCATGTTTACAACTGTCAGTCGAGTGAGAACAAGTCTCCAATATAATATGTTCTGCTATTTACCAAAGCTTGTTAAATACATCTATTACAAACCTAAAAACTCTACAAAATGGAAACTTTTCATTAGATTTAATTTCTTCTAAAATTGACATGAATAAAAATATAGGTAATCAATAGATTTTGTCCCAGTTCCTTCTATATTATTACAATTATAAGTAGTTTCTGGATTAATTTCTAATTATTTATTCTCTAAGGCAAATAAGTTTGTGCAAAATGTTAAAATAGTTATAAATATTGTCAGAAGAATCCATCCCATTTGCCACAATCTTACCAATCATTTTTTAGCTTAATTATTAAACATGATGTCTGATATACTTGGTTTGTTTCATCTTCTTCTGCATTACTTAAAAAATCTGTCTCCATGTTTTTAATTCTATTTGTAACAGAATAGTTATTTATCATACCTTTATTTAATTCTTTTTCAGACTTTTTTGTGCCATGCCTCTTCTGAATAATATGTCTTGTAAAAAGGAAAAATTATAATAATGATAATCAGTAACAATTTCTTTCTTTCTAATAATAAAACATTTACAAAAATAAGACAAACAGACACGTACGTCACAGCAATCGAAAAGCAAAATTACATCAATTTCAAATTCAAATCTGTATTAATAATGTAATTGGTGAAACTACTGACAAACATCAAAATCTTATATTTTCATATTAAATGAATGTATTTTAAAAGATGCACTAACTTTATAGATTTACATTTTATTTGTAAATTCATGTGTCTTGTTCCTTTAATTCTGAGATTCCTTAATGATTTGGTCTCTATTCATTGATTGATATTGAACAGCTGAATATAAATGAAGTGCTTTACATCCAAGCTGCATCCAAGCTCTCACCGAACCCCCAACCCCAGACAGCAGCCTCAAACTCGAAGGGGAGCTCAACACTGTCTTTGCTCAGTTTAAGCCACCCCCCCTCAGTCAGGAGCAGACTGAGAACGGTAAACCCCACGAGCCAGCGCTGATGGCATCCCCGAGGCTGTGGTAAAAGCTTGCCCAGACCAACCTGCAGGGATGCTCACCAGGCTGTTCAACCTCCCTCTGACTTATGCCACCATTCCCACCTTTCGGAAGGCTTCCACCACTATTCCCACCCCCCAAAAAAATGGCATAGACAGCCTCATTTTCTATAGCACCATAGCCCTCGTGTCTGTAGTCATGAAGCCTTTCTAGCACAAAGTGTCTCAGCACATCAGAGCCTGTCTACCGCCTCCCTCGACCCCCACCAGTTTGCTTTCAGATCGGTCCACAGAGGATGTCATCACATCGCCCTGCAGATCCATCTGGAGAACAGAAAGAGCTACGTGAGGATGGTCTTCGTGAACTACGTACGGCTTAATGTTCAACACCACCATTGCAGACATCCTCACCATCAAACTGCACCATCAGTCTGACC